AAATAAAGTTACTATATTTACCTTCCATTGAAAAAGGTACTTTAACATGTACGCAGACAATTTTAAACTTAGGCCGTACATCAAATTTCGTACAACTGTTGTTCGTGTATCATACCTTCCTGATCATCGTTGGAAAGTTAAATATGCTACTTCTGTAAATAAAGATCAAACCAGTGAGCATGAAGAAATATTTGATTTTGTTATGGTTTGTAATGGGCATCATAGGAAACATAGGTGGCCTAAATATAAAGGGAAAATTTATATTATAACCAGTCGCATAAATTACTGCGTCAATGTTTTCCACAATAGAACCATCAACAAATTTAATTGACTTTGTTTCGTCAGGCATTAATTCCAAAATGTTTTTCTTTACAATAATAGTTCCGGTACTAAGGCGTTCGAAAAAATCCGTTTTTAAGGTTGGATGTGAAGAGTAGTATGGAATGGTTGGTTGGAGAGATGGTGGATGGGGGCCTACGGTCTGGCGGACAAGGTTTATAAAAGATGAAGGGGAATTTGGAAGGAAACAAGTAGAAAACCGAGTTTTTAAGTGGCCGATTGGCTTTCCACCGATCAGGCGTGGGAGAATCCATGGGAGTGTTCCTATCGAATACCGAATTGAGTAATAACAACTAAGAGAAGAACGCTATGAATTAATATAGTTTATTTTGTTACCTCTGCGAACACATAAATAAACTTGTGATGCGACGTGAGATAATTCGACGGCAATATCAATTCCACTATAAAAAAAATTTTTTTTACAAAAGCCGAATGTATAATTTAATTCATACGAAATTATATCCGAAAGTTAATAATATACCTGTTACCAATTCCGACTACAACAACACGCTTATTTTCGAAACATGCAGATCTAATAAAGTTTTTTTTTAAATAAATAAATCATTATTGGGGTGTCATTAGTTAAAACATATGATAATGCGATTGATGACATTTCCGGATATAAAGTTAATTCACTTAAGAAAATGAATAGGCAGCATTGATAATACTATAATTGAAGACATTCCATTTTATCTCTTGGTTTATTTATTCACTTTTTGCTTACCGCCTGTAAAAATGCGAATGAGTTTGCTCGCCTTTAAATTCGTCCATCCCTTTATATTTTGGCCACCTATGTTTCCTATGGTGCCCATTACAAACCATAACAAAATCAAATATTTCTTCATGCTCACTGGTTTGATCTTTAT